CCCCAAAACCCCAAAACCCCAAAACCCCAAAACCCCAGGTAGTGGTAATGGTATTGAATTATTCGAAAAACTCTCTAAATCTGAATATGATCATGTCCATAAACACTTTGTTTTCAAGGAATTGGATGTGAGCAGCTCTTCCAATAAAAGTATCGATATTCTTGTTGCTGATCATAAAGTTTACATCAATCCTGTATAAGCATTCAATATCTAGCTTGTTAAGAAGATTTGTAGCCATCTGAATGTATATATTACCTTTTGCAGTATCTTTAGTGGCTTTAGAGCAAATCTGGATTCTTGCAGAATCAAATGGAGCATAACCATCTTGGAAAGAACTTCAAAGGAGAATATTTTTGAACCATTCTAAGCCAGGCTTTTTGCTAAGTTTATACAGAAAAGTCTCCTCTGGATTTGGACTATCACTCATTCCTATCTGCCTGAGGGACTCACTCCCTTTCCATTTCTTGAGAACCCACATTCCAGCATCTATGATTTTACTTGAATTGTACATATATCCTAGATGAGGACTCGAAAGTGAGATATAGGTGTACATTAGCTTTTTATAATCTTCAAGGTAAGGAAGAGCAGCCCTAATTATGATTCCTCCCATAGAGTGACCAATAAAACTGAGTCTACCTAAAGAGGATCCAGGGCAGTATTGGTCTATAAATACCTTGATCTCATCAGCAAGCCTGACACCCATTTCTTCAATATTTCCTTCTGTTTCTTTTTCATTATTTTTACTAAGTAAGAAGATTGCTTCTGGATGGACCATCGAGATTGAGTTCTTCAAAAGTTTCATGTCAATATTAGATCCTTGAAAACCATGTACTAAGACGAATAAGTGTCATCCTCTATAATAATTTTCATATTTAAAATCTCTATAGTCATTTTCTTCTAATAACTTATTATCAGGCTCAGGAGGGATGTAGTCCTTCTTTCTGACACATTCTTCAAAGATGATAGGATGAGATTCAGGCTTTTTCCAAATTTCTTCATCTTGGACAAGCACATCTTCAAAGTCAAGGTGGTATCCTCTTTCTTCTCTAGTTTTTAGGAGAGCTTTGTGGATCTCGATCAGATTCTCTTCTACAGGTGACACAAAGTCATCTGTTTCTATTGTAGAAAGGAAAATACTCTGGCCTATTTTCTTGATATGCTTGCTCTCATAGTCCATTTTGAGGTTTTCGATTATAAATTTTGGTTCTAAAATAGATTAAATCTAATGTAAAGATCTTTTTACCTTCCTGGATTGCCCTGATGATTTTGCTCCAAATTTTGCTGATTTGTTTAGTAACTTTATCAAAATCACTCATCATGAATTTTCCAACTGTAAATGGGTCTGAAGTAGGAACTCTTTCAGAAAGTTCAGGTATCTTTTTGTTCATAAACTTATTTATCCTTAGTGTTCAGGACATGGATGGATCCTACTTTCAAGTGGTCATTTATTTCATCAATCTTGTCTTGCTCATTGTAATGCTCCATGAATTCTTCGTTGATGGAATTCTCTCCAGCTGTCATAGATGGTGTGTCTATGCCACCATCTATTCTTTGTGGGAGGGGGCTTTCAGTTAAATTCATTAACCTTCTAGATCCTTCTATATCTCCAACAGGTCTTTCAGGCGCAATATTACTCTTTTTATTTGAAAATAATGTTGTTGGAGCTTGAATCGCTACCATTTGAAGGAGAATTCTCAAGGTATTTAGACTCTTCAAGATCGTTATGAGCATCATCTAACTCTCCAGGATGCATCAAGGGTTTGATTTGTATAAAATTCTCTAATTTTTCCTTTTGTTCATCACTGAAACATTCATTCATTGTTCTTTTGAAATAAGAATTCAGCCTTTTATGGATCTGACTGAGGATATTAATGTAATCTTTATAAACTTGATCTGCCTTTTTGAAATCTACTTCGTCTGCTATTTCTCCATATTTATCTTGAAAGAAGTATTCCCCCACTTCATCAAACTGAAGATTCTTGTCGTTTAGAAGTCGTGGCTTACTTGGATCCTTCTCTTTGAATTTATATCCCACAAGAGTTGAATGAACAGTTCAATGAAATTGACAGAAATATTGATTTTCAAAACTAACTGTGAAATATTCTTTAATCACCTGGGCTCAAAAGAGAAATTTGAATTTTGCCTCAGACACATTTTTCACAAAATCTGGGTGCTCATATAACTCTTTAACATGTCCTTGGATCTCAGTAGACTTTAGAGAGCTAAAATCAACAAACATCAAAATGGCTTCTCAGTGTATCTCTTTTTCAAGATAATCAGCATCGACCGGGATCTCGATTCTGAATATAAGAATGTCATTGATCTCAACTTCTTCGTCACAGTATCTAATCACAAAAGTTCTGGTAGAAGATATATGAGCACTTTGGTTGATTTCCCCATCTTTTGCATCAAGGACATCTGGTTCTTTCTTCTACATGAAGATAAATCACAAGGAGGGACTTACATTTTCCCATGCTCTTCTTCTTTTCTTAGTTATCTCGCTGACCTTGATGTTAGTGGGGTTAGCATATATTTTATTCTCTCCTTCAAGATGGTAAAGCTTGAAATCACATCTGTAGAATCCTTGGTTATACAGATCAATATTCTTGAAGTTCTCCACCTGAATGGCAACTTCTACTATGGAAACAAGTGACATTTTTAAATATTTTAATAGATTGGGGTTTTGGGGTTTTGGGGTTTTGGGGTTTTGGGG